TCGGTTTTTTGTGATTTTTTTGCCCACCGAGGGCCCTAGGGTTGTTTATCGCAGGAACCAATGCAGATTGGCCGAATTCGACCTAAACGGCTGAAAATAGCCAACCCGAGGCGGATCGCCACCGCGGGCGGCGGTGCCGTCGCCGGAGCATGGCGGAGCCGCTGTGCCAAAATTTTGATATTCACCGAAAAGGGGCCCTAGGTCTGATTTGAGATTTTTTGGGACACGTGTAGGTACCGGTAGTGCATTTTATTTTCCTGAAAAAAATTCAAGAAATTTATGGACAACCCGTAGACGCATTGTAGAGCCGATTTCAGACCCCGAAATAAGTAAGGATTTCTCACTATGTTTTCTATCACGGTATTAAAACGCAATAAATAATAAAACGACATTTCATGAATTAATACATGTGTATAATTAATTAAAGTTACTAATGGTGCCCGAATCTGATGTATTTTCGATCAGTTGTTGTTTGATCTATTTTTCAGCTTTAAATGCAGTATGGTATTTGATGTATTTATTTTATGGTTACGTATGCATGAATCATGGTTTATGTTATTATGGTTTGAATTATGGTGAACCCAATGTTGTGTTATTTTGTTTGGTGTTCATTATTGGTTTACGTGTTTATATTTGATTCGATAATTGAGATCAAGGAAAATGGAAAAAGGTTATGTGAATTGATAAATGGATAATGTTGACAGCCTGACTAGATATTCTGGGAGATGGTGGACGGACCGAGTCCGTAGGGAACCCTACCGGGAACGTGGTCTCTCATATCAGACGGGGTATGGAGACCTTATGTGTTTTGGCGTCCATACCGGACGGGGTATGTGAACGGCCCGTTTCACCCTCATACCGGACAAGGTATTGAGGTTTATGGTTTTGGCGCTCATACCAGACGGGGTATGGGGGCGGCCAACTTCACCCTCATACCGGACGGGGTATTGAGGTTTATGGTTTTGGTGCCCATACCGGACGGGGTATGGGGACGGCCCTGGAATCAGATAATTAATGTTAATGGTTCACGTATAGCGGGGACCCTTTATGGATCCCTATGGATACTAGTAGGCTGATAAAAGAGAAAATTTGTTACCTGATGATTGAAATACAAAAGTATGATATGTGTTATGTTATAGAGTGTGCACGATCTTATGATGTTTATAATGTTATTGTTTTCATAAGTTGTTTTCATGAATGTCACCGAGGTAAGTAGACAGTAAAAGATTTTATCATTGATAAATGAATTTGTTATAAATTATGCTCAATTGGTCGTTTTTGTTTTCTACCAACCTTTATTTCTGTGACAGTGAGATAGTGTGACATCTTTATTGGGCTAGTGTAGCTCATTCTTTACTTAACCATTTCAGATCACAAAAACATGGTTTCTAAGCCCGTTCCGCAGGAAGACGGCGAGTTAGACGTCTAGAGATTTTATAGTTCTATTTATAATTTTTATTTCGAGTATTTATTTTAATTAGCTTATTCTTTCATACATTAAATATATTTTTGGTTATTGTGTAAAGGATGTTAATTAAAATTTTTATTACACTTCCGCATTTAAGATTTTTAATACATATATCTTCATTTAAATTTTCGGAGCCGTTACATTATCTTCTAAATTATTTTTTTCGTTTATTCTAATATTAAAACTTGGTGAGCAAGTAATATATGTAAAACTGGTCTTCTAATTATATGCATGTCCGATCATATAAATCTATGTATGTATATATTATTTTTCTATATCATATGGTTTATCAAACATCAATAATATTAATTTGTATTTTATAGTTTAAATAAGTTTAAATTATATTTTAATTTGTATAATATATTATTATATTATTATTCCAAAATTATTTGTCAATTGTCATCACTCACACCTAACCTTATCTCTTTTCAACCTTTCTCTTCTTCCACGAAAGTAGCTACAGGATATCAGTATCAGCAAGTCAACATCAGAAATCGATCAATAAATCTCCATCGTTGCTCTTGTTTTCTTTCAGTGTTTCAAAGCAACTCGCTTCCTTCTTCCGATCTGGTATCATCTTCTTCGCTTCCTTTTTCCTTTGTTGTTTTTACGGTAATTAATGGCGGAAACCGGCGGTTCTTCCTTGTATAGTTGCAGAAACTGCCGAAATCCACTTGCGTACGCCGAAGATCTCTTATCTAAAACTTTCAAGGTAATAAGATCGACACAGCTTTTCTCTGATCCGTATTATTTCCCGATTATGATTAATTCACAGTCTGGTGTACGATCTGCATAATTCAGTTGATAGAATACGACTTTACCGAGTGTACCTAACAAATTTTGAATTGAATCTTAACAGTTTTCGCGATTCAACTACTATGTATTGTAATTTTATTCGTACATCTCGAATTACCTTTATTGCTACATCAAAAAAACTGTCCGATCATCACTCGGTAAAATGACATCACTCGATAATTCATTTTACTTAGTTAACGAGTGCTGAATCTTGTTGTTAGGCAAAATCGGGAGCGGCTTACATGTTCTATCATGCAATGAACGTTGTGATTGGGCGAAGGGAAGACAAACTGTTAATTACCGGTAATTTTAGCATAGCTCCTGTTTATTGTAGTAAGTGCGGAGTGGAGCTCGGCTGGAAATATATTCAGGCTTATGAGCGAAGCCAATGGTACAAGGAAGGCAACTTTATTCTCGAGAAATTGAAGATAATCGAGGAATTCGCCTGATATTTTGGCATATATGCGTCTCTCTCTATATATATATATATATCGTAATATGTGTGACATACACATATATACATGCAGAAGAAACTATGCCACATGTGAAATTTATTACCGTTAAAAAAAGGTGTTGATAAATGATTGTATTTTTCACTTATCTATGAAGCTATTCTAGTAAATTTACACAATCGAGAAGTGAAATTTATATTATATAGTTATTCAACTTATATATATATATATATATGTTTTATATTAAAAATATCAATTCATAATATTTGATTCAGTAAAATTAAATATTTAATTTATTAATATATTAAAAAAATTACAGCGATCAAATTTAGTTAAATACGACTAAAATTTTAAATTTTTTTAATTAAATAATTATAATAAATTAAATATTAAATATAATTTTTTTATATAAAAAATATAAAAATTATATCACGACCGGGTTATTAATTTAGTTATCTCTCCGAATCTATAATATTGAATGTGCATTTTTAGTTCAATTTATTTGATAATATCTTTATTTTTAATTGCATTATAGTTTATTATATACTTATCGATAAATTACAAATTTTAATCAAATAAATTAAAGTTTGTTGACGTATACGACACTTGTTGCAATTGATACGGATGGTATATATAAATTAGAATTTCTAAATTTAATCAAATATTTGTATATAAGTAAAAAAAATATATATAGTGACTTCTTGTAATTATAATTTAGATTTTACTATTTTTCAATAAAAATTTCCAAATTATTTAAATATATAATAAATGTGTAAGTTAAAATTATTGTTTTAACCTAATAATTTTTAACTTTTAATTTTATGGAAAAAAATCCCAAAATTTTCGTTCTGAAAGTGATCATACCTGAACTAAAATATTTCAATTTACTAGGAAAAAAAAATACATATAAATTTTAAATTGATAAATTGTGTAAAAAAACTAAAACATTCCGACGCCAAAACGCCACATTTCTCGACTGCGTATTCCTTCTGTTTCCATTTCCACGGTGCTGACGGGCAGATCCGAAGTTTGGGTAACCTAACATTCTCACTCTGAAACGCGAAGAGGAACCTTTTCTCTTTCTCGCCAGACATCGACTTCCCGTATCCTTCTAGAGATCATCGATTATAAGCAGCAGGTTGGAGCTTTTTCTCCCCCTTCTCAGTTTTGTGTATGTGCTATTTGTATGTATAATGGAAAGATCTTCTTGTTGATTGCTTGGTGCTTTTCGGTCTGTCTTTTTACTGTACATATGTATAAGTATCGGTGAGATTGTTCGGGAGTTTTTCTCTGCCGGGAAAATGAGGTGCGCATTGGTGGAGTTAGTCCTTGATTTGGCTGGTATCGGCTTGTTGGTTATTATGTTCTATTATTTGAGCTGTTTTTGGTTGACTGGTATTGGATTAATAATGGAGCTTTGCTTTTTGATTTTACACGATTTGTGGAAAATTGGGATAGCAAAGCTTCACTGAATTGAGTAGTGTTTACTGTACCATTGATTGGACTAGTTTTATTTGGAGGATGCAAAAACTACGTGCAAGACAAGAGAGCCACTCTATTGTGGATTGCTTGGCAATTTGAATGATCATTGTTAAGGATGTTACTGTGGATAAAAACCTTATTGGAACTTAAGTGTATGGATATGGGTTGAGGATCCGCATGTATTAGGAAACTTCTATGCAGTGAGTATTTGATTGTTAAACTCGTAGTTTATGTTGCAGTATGAGTATTTTGTTTTTGGTGCGCTAATATTGGTAGATTGAGGTTTGTGTGGGTGTTAAGAGTGACATATAGATGGACGACTGTGCTGAATGTGTTTATCAACAGTATCGATCCAACTAGATAGGTGAATGCGTCAATCTGCCCTGGATGATTGTTTCACTAATTTCCAGTTGGTTTGCTAATTTTCTTATGTCATTGTTCAGATATTCTGCAGCAATTACTTTTATCTAGAGTAAATTTATTGGAGAGGTGAACCATGGCATATGCATGTCATATTATCAATCACTCAAAGAAGGTAACCATAATTTTAGTCCATGTCTCGTATCTTACAGTTTAATTGAGTGTCAATTCTTTGTAGTAAGATTCATTCATATTGAAGGCTTTTCTCTCTGTTTTCCTTTCTGAGGTTCATGCTGTTTTTTTTTTATTTTTGATGCACTTGTTGATTGCTGAGATTTACTTTGATGTTCTCGCTTCAAAACTTAGTATGCCAATTATCATAAATTGAAAGCTTTATGTTTTAGCATGATCCTTGTGTAAATTCTGCAATGCTTGCACAAGTTGCTCCATCAATCCTCCTATATTTATGTGCCATCTCTAAATTCTTTCTCTCTAGCTGCCATAGCAACTCTAGGTCATGCTCTGGCTATGATACAATTTGATTTTGGTAGGAATGGAGTAATTTGAGGAATCCAGTTGAGGAATTAAAAAATCCACCTACTTGGATTAAAATTCTGGTTATTCTGGAAAGTACTGAGAAAATTTTTTCTCAATAAAATGAAATTCTGAATATAACAGCTCCGGAGTGTTCAAAGGAAATAAATTATAAATTAAGCACGGAAGCAAAATGAATGGTTAAGATCTACATTTCTTGTACAATAATTTAAAGTACCGAATAGTATTACGAGAATTATCATTTTGAAAAAAATATAAAAAATTAAGGAAATAAGCGGAAAATAAATAAAACTAGTATCCTACTCGCAACTCTTTTGTGGATCGGATTTTGGATTCTGATTCTCTTAATCTGAAATTGTTAAATAAGAGATGAGGTACAGTAGTTCAGTAAGAATATCAGATTACTCATCGACACAGAAATGAATATTGATAGAAAATCAAAACAACTAATGGAATACTTAATTAAATAAATACATTTATTGACAATAAAACCATTTACCGTCCACTTACTACAGCGAAATTTATAAAAACAAGCTAAAGAGACAATAACATAACTCTTGTCATGATTTTATATGCAATCGGTAACTTGCACACATTATAATTGCATATTCAATAAATTAAACAACAACTGTCCCTTTCCATCAGATTGCTGGTATCCATTGAGATTCATAGGGATATCCTCGCACGCGTGAACCTTTTCTTTTAACATTCTCAATTAACGAGCCGTCTCCATACCCCGTCCGGTATGAGCGCTAAATTACCAAGTCTCGATACTCCGTCCGGCATGAGACAACGTTCACGATAGGGTTCCCTATTGTACCCGGTTTGTCCACCATCTCTCAGGATATTCAGTAAGGTCGCCGTTTCATTCATTCACTTAATCACACAGTTCTCATTTACCTTTAATCTCTAGTTTCCTAATTCAAACGTAATCACATAAACAAACAAACATGCATCACGAAATGCAATAAAAACCATAAATCGATAAATGAGATATTATTATGCATTCAAACTGTAAAATAAATCGACAGAAATCAATAGAGAATAATTTCCGGTTCTTGTTCAATTAGTAACCCGTAATTAATTATAGATATTTTTTAAATTACACCAAATTCCGTATTATTAGTTATTTAAACTTCAATTTTATAACAGAAAATAAAGTGATAGATTTTTACACAATTTGATATCCGAAAAACTAAACTGTTGACTGCGTCTACTGGCGGTCCCCGTGTTCCTTGAATTTTTGTTCGGGGATTAAAATGCGCTATAAGTACCTACAAATGTCCCAAAAACCCAAAATTAGTCTCAGGATCCATTTTTGGCAAATTCCGGAATTCCGACATGGCGGCTCCACCGTGCTCTAGCGACGGCGCCGCCGCCCGAGTCGGTAGTCGGCCTCGGGTCGGCTGTTTTCCGCCGATTTTGTATCAATCTCTGCGAGAAAACACATTAAGAGGTTTCGATTGACCGAAAAATACAAAAAATCGAAACTCACCGGGCGGCGGAGCTCTCTAGTGCGGTGACTCC